ATAGGAATATAAAAAATTATAAAGTAACACAAATTTTTCTACCATTCTCTTCCTCCACACGTTCAGTACATTCATCAAAAAAAGCTAGGCCAGCCATATCCATATCAGATACAAAACTTCTTTCTTCTATGAATCTAAGAGTAATTATTGAAAAATTAATATCAAAAACAAAAATATATTAAATACGAAAACAAAAATATCTAGTAAAAATAGTACATTGACTTTTACATATTAATTACCTTATGAACATTTGAGTTCTAACAAGCATACTATAAAATTTTGCATGAGCCTTATCACGACTTCTTAAAAATTCTTGCATATTAAATAAACTTGTTGGATCTGTTGATCCTACAGTAGGAGCCTTTGTAATTGGTAATAAGAAAGATCGATAGCCTTTTAAAATAGTAGCAGTGAATTTTAAGAAAGCGTCTTGTATTTCAAGTTCCAATGCTTGTTCTTTTTGTTTTTGTTGAAATTCTTTATCTACACTAAAATCACCATGTTCTTGATCTGAAATGTCAAATATGTATAAAAATAGTTATAATCACTTATAAATTATTTCACAAGTTAACCACTTAGAAATGTATACAATTTATGATTACCTTTTTGAGAAGAATATATCTTTCCAAGAGAAGTTAATTTTGAATAGAGATGTTCTAAACAATTTCTAAGCTGTCTAGCTGCCTTCTTAGGGAGTAATTTTACATTCAAATATTTCTTGTCATCGCAAATGGCTATATTATTTGTATCAAGATTGACACAATTAACATCAGATGGTGGATCATATAAATCGAAAAACCTGGAGTCAACACCAATCAAAAATGGTAGAGGTGCGTGCAAGACCTGTAATTTACATATTAAAATTTCAAATTAAATTAGAGTAATGTATAGTAAATCATTTTTGGAGTTTAATTTATAATAAAATATACCTCGGCTAAACCTAATGGACAGAGTGGTATATACGGGCATTGCCATTTGAATGGAAACAAAATCATTGCAATAGCTTCACTCACTGAAGTTAGCACATCAGGCCGTAATGAATGAACCAATATTTTTTGCTCTGTTAATATTAGGAGCAATATCAATAAGCAATTATCAGGACCCAAATTGATTAATAATTGCCTAAAACTGGCACCAGATCTAGGCAAAACTAAATCTTCTGGTTGAGTCAAGATTAGCCTATCTTTGCTGCTAAGTTGCACAAGAATTCTAGATCTTTGTGGACTTGGGAAAGGTATATCACACAAAAAATAAGAAATATACTTTTCTATAGAAACATTCTGAGGTTTTCCATTGACCATGCTATGCAGAAAGACTAGAAATTTTTCAAATGTATCAAAAAATGGCCAATGCGATAATATACATATTGACTTGCTGATATTTAATGACTGACTGCTAGGATCTGTAAATTGTAATTTTGCCCATTGGGATATATTAAGCTTCTTAAGTATTCCGTATTTTCTGAACATTTTTGCTTTTGATTGATGAAATTCCTCCGTTAATTCAATACTATCAGCTGAAATGCACATTAAACAGTTACATTTAAAATAACTAAAAATGTTTTTCTAATAAAAAAAAATAAAAAATGAAAAAAATAAATAAAAGAATGCATTTTATATATTAGTTGTTATCAGCATATATTGTACTACTTTTATTTCATGCAAACATGCTTAATTAATAGAAAAACTTAACAAATTTATAAGTACCAAAAATCACATACTATTATTTTTTGTATTTTCCTCTATATCTTCCATATCCAAATTTCCTTTACAGCTTAGAGCATCTGGTGGCAATGTAAACTCTTCATAAAACGTTATAGCCGAGCCATATATTTTCTGTGCAGCATCCGAGACTGTTAAGACAAATGTTGAAAATAATGACTTAGGCTTGCAAGCCATTTTTGGCCAACATTCTATGGTTGCTCCCATAGGTAAACAAAACATGGCAACTGAATTTGGAAAAACGAAGCTGTTATAATCAGTTGTAGGATACTTATAAAGTATTGCTGGTTTGAACGATATAAGATTAGCACGATTCATGGATTTCTTATAGCATAAGAATACATCACTGCCCAACATTCCCTTATTTAAATTCTTATTAATAACACAGAATGCATGTGGAGGAGTTTCCCCTTTGTTTTTCAAAATAACACATATATCAGTAACAACAAGAGAATTGCAAGGCATTTTTTGACTTGCTCGTCTATATGTTACAAAAATTTTTGAAGTTGAATTGTTCACGTTCGCTATGTGTCCTTTGGGAGTTTCTAATACTATTTGTGCATCCTGCATTATACGTTCTTTCCCATCATATATTACACCTTTAAAAATCACATATGTCACATCATACTTGATATAATTTTAATAATTTCTGTGGTCATTAATAATTTAAAATTAAAAAATTACCAATATCAACTAAAGGTGGTTTATCACGACCTCTCCTATAGCATAAATAACATTCATTTGTTCGTAAGCTGCCATGATTTAAATCAGCTGGGATGCCGGACACGGTATATTCTAACAATGTATAACCTTCAGGACAATGTTCGCCCAAAGCTGGAAAAATGACAGCGAGATCTGTGATAGGTGGTTGCATATGTATATCTTTCAAATGCGTTCCTTCTTGACACCAATCTTCTAATTCATCATTAACTTCATTCTCTCCTATAATGTCGTCGTTATGACCAGGTAGGCCAGCGACAACAAAATAATCTGCTACTCTCCTTTCATCCATTGCAAACTTTCTTCAATAATTAATATTTTATATATCTAAAAGATAACATATTAATTATTTATATCTATATATTTATCTGTATATAATAGATTATCGATAAAAAAATTACTAATATACATTTATACAAGTTTTGAAGATCAATCATTGATCTTATATCCTTTTAATCATAGTCATTCCAATGTCTTTTCAAGCGACAAAATCATTTTTATTAGATGCTTCTTATTGTTCTTATTATTTTTATCTCATACAATATATTTTTCATTAAAACGGTTTGAGTACTATCTGTAACAATGTAATAATTACAACCAAGTATCAATAATGCGATTTACATTATACAAATTCCTATTTCCTATATATTTTGTGACAAAAATAAAACTTCATTTAAATTTATTTTTATCTAATCACTTACTTCCTTTTTATTATTAAAATCGCAGTTGATCACTAAACTTTAAAATACTACATTTATAATATCTACGTTTCAATAAAACTTTTTTCTTGTTATTCTTTTTGTTAATACAACACTATTACACGCACTATCTATTTTGTGTTGAATTGTTGATTATCTTTATATTTTATTTGTAAATCACAATTTAATCACGATCATAAGTAAAACAAAGAGCACATATTATTCTTTAAAAGAAGAAGGTAATAAAAATTCCTTGATGAAATCGCATTACGTTTTAATCAATAAACTTACGAAAACTATAAACGTAGAAAATTTACGACTGCTGCAACAACTTTTTCCACTAATCGTGATAAGATTATCGAAAAACGTAAAGATAAATAAGAAATTAAAAATCGATCTATCTCTCCTCGTGTTTACATTCACAATTAAAAAAGACTTAGATTCGAAACGTGCTTTTAAAATAAAAGTCAGGTTAGACGTTAGATACAACAGTCTCGAGAGAGAATATCGTCGTGGTTAAACACTGTTGCTATCAAACAATCTATACGCGCATCGAAGTACACCTTCAAGTTTTTCCCTTTCTTTTTTGTTTTTTTTTCTTTTAGACGATAATATACACTTGAAAAAATTCAGAGAATCATAAAGTAAAGAAGTAGGTTTTAAAAATAAAGAAAACTTTGTCTCTCGAATGGCTATACATTCTGATCGGCAAAATGGCTGTGTATGTTGATCTAAATTGACATTACTACGACGGAGCGAATTTTTTTTTTCTTTTATTACTCTGGCAAGATTTCTTCGAGATAAAAAGATGACACGTATTTGTAACACGTTTGACGTCTTTAATACGTAATTAAGCCATTTGAGATTGCATATACTGTGTGGTTATTGTTCCTTTTTTATTCTTTTCTTTTTCTATCTTTTTTGTTCGTTTGCATTAATTTCGAACTTACTGCGACAAAAAAGATCCAGTTAATGTTATACAGTTGAAAAATGATTATATCGAAACTTCGTTAATATACATCAATTGTTATTGTTAAATGTACTCATTCGTATATATCATTAAATAATTTATTATTTAGCATCATTTTATTTCGCATCGTCAATGAAATCATATGTATTTAGAGAGTAAATCGGTTAAATGTTTCACGTCGATAATATTTGATTTGTACACATAAGATTATACAGCTTTTACCCAATAAAATTAGTTCTTAATCTAAAGTAACTGTCTTTAAAAGGAAAGTTTCGAGAAATCGCACTAGAATCAACTAGAATCGAAAGTTTAAATGAATGTATCGAATAAATAGGAACATTTTAACATTTATAATCTTATTATAATATGGCATAATAATTAAAAAAATTAAATATTATATTTCTTTTATATTTAATAAGATATTCAATTTAAAAAAAAAAAATCTTTTTTAGTTTTTAGTTTTTAAATTGATAGAATTAATTTTATATTACAAGTCGATAATAACAATAACAATACCAATATCTTTAACTATGAATTGATTGGTTATACTTTACGCGGTAAATTTAAAATTACGACTTTAAGAAATAATGGAAATTTGAACTTTTTCGAAAAATAGTATAAAATTTTAAATTCGTTATTATTGACGATTAAATATTCCATTATCAAAGAATATTATTATTAATTAATATATAAGTCTCAAAGGGAATTATAGACGGTTAATAAATCTTATGAACAATTTATTTTGAACTAGTTGTACGTTTCGTCCCTTACTGGGGACTTCATCAGCAACTTGATCATTTACAGTTCACTTGTCCATAGATATAAATCTTTTTTACAGAGTTATACATTTCAATAAAATTTAACATATTACAATACAATTTGATCCTAAAACACCTTATCTTATCACACGTAATCAAATACTATATATATACTTTGCAGATAATTTTATTGTTAAAGATTAAATCTCACTTGTACAGAAACTTGCATCATTAATAAAATAATAATCATAAATCTATATTATTATAAATTGTAACATAGAAATTGAATAAACTTGATAATTGATCAATGAATTAAAAACAATTTAAACATTTATTTGCAATTATTACAGTATTCTATTTTATTAAACATGTTTGCCAGTGAGAGGTTAGTTTCTCGGTTAAACTTACGTATTGTATCAAGACATCTTTCTCCTGTATTAGATATATTTAAAAATGCACATGTAAGTTTTATATCTAATATTAACATTTTCATTTCCATTGATATATAGCATAAAACCTTTGATCTTATTTTTAGTCTGTTTCGATGAAATATTTTGTACCAACTGTTGTAAGATTTACTCATGATTTAGTTGTTCAACAAGTATCTCCTTTAAACCGATCAAATTTACCAGTAAACAAGTATTGTTTGAGATCACATACTTGTGGTGAGTTAACTAGCAAAAATGTTGGAACTATGGTACAGCTTAGCGGTTGGATTGAGTTTCGGAGAATGAACAAGTTTATAATTTTAAGAGATGCATATGGTTCTACACAACTTTTCATATCTGATAATGTATGTTGTTTTCTTTTTTAACATTTTGCTTTTATATAATCCAATATATAAGTAATCAATGAAATAATTAATATATTTTTTAGAGAACAGATTTAATGGAGATCATAAAAGATCTACCATATGAAAGCGTTATATGTGCTATTGGTATGGTAAATATGAGACCTGAAGGACAAGTAAACCAAAAAATGAAGACCGGTGATATAGAAATACAACTTGATTCTATAAAAGTTTTAAATAAAGCAGTAGCACATCTTCCATTTTCTATTAGATCATTTAATAAGGCAAAGGAAGTAACTCAAATGAAATACAGATATCTTGCTTTAAGGTATCCTGAAATACAAAAGAATTTAAGAATACGTTCTAAACTTTTAATGAAGATGAGAGAATACTTAATCAATGAGTGTGACTTCGTAGATGTAGAAACACCAACACTTTTTAAAAATACACCTGGAGTATGTACTTATAAACTATGTGTCAAATTAATAATAACTTAACGTATCTGGAATATATTTTATTTAATACAGGGTGCACAAGAATTTATAGTTCCAACAAAACATCCAGGAAAATTTTATTCCCTTGTGCAAAGCCCACAGCAATTCAAACAATTACTTATGGTGGGTGGAATAGATAGGTATTTTCAAATTGCTCGATGTTACAGGGATGAAGGTGCAAGACATGATAGACAACCAGAATTTACACAGGTGGGTGATTAAATACCTATTCATTAAAAAAGCATTATTAAAATGTATAATGAAGTTATTATATAGCTTGATATTGAAATGTCATTTGCTGATCAAGAGGGAATAATAGATTTAATCGAAAATCTACTAAAATATAGTTTGCCAGAAACTATAACTACACCTTTCAAACGCATGACCTATGAGGATGCAATGAAGTTGTATGGTACAGATCAACCAGACTTGAGAATACCTTATGAAGTAAGAAAATTATACCTGAAAACACACGTACGTGCATAAACTTTATGTTCATTATTGCCTACTAAATGTGCATTATACCATGTTGACAGATTCAGTATCTTACAAAACTTGTTAATATAACTACATTGGAGGAAGATATGAAATTAACAAATAGCAAAGATTGCGAAATCTGTGCTTTAGTTTTTCCTAATAAACATGTAAGTTATTATATTATTCTATATATATATAATATTAAAATATATAATATATGTTC